TAATTCTGTCCCTCTTCCCTGCAGGGGAATTTCGACATCTACATAATATAAAAACACATGCGTATTCAAATGCAACGTTGTCAAAATCTGAAAGCATCCGGTGAAGAACTTTAGAAGATTTAAGATTTTGAACAAACGAATATTACATTTTTATTTATATAGATAATAATATAAATTGTCAGATTGTTAGTTTATTAAATTTGATATAGTTTTTATAAACATATATAAAAACTTATCTTATTTTCTGAACCATCTTTATATTATATAAATACATATATGAGGCATATTCATAAAGTAAAGATAAAATACAAAAAATATTTCTAAAACATTTGACTTATAATATTTTTAGATTGACTTACACCTTTAGAACATATGTTTATATATTTTTCAACATAGTCACCATGGACCTCAATGCATTTGGTAATCCTGGAAACTAACAGACATGGCACTGAAGAAAACTGTGAAAAAATAATTTTCCTTGGATTTCTACTTGCTTCGTATCTTTATTTTCCAAACATGCCTCATACAATATATAAAATTATATTCAATTTTAGATTTAGTAAATTTGAGAATCATTCATAAATAAATGCTCATTGATTTATAAAATATTCTGGAAAAATTTTTCAAAATTAGCTAACACAACATAATTTTATGTTAATGTGTTTACCAAGTAGCATCTTTCAAAATAAAAAACAACAGATTATCCCAAAAAGTTAGTTACATTTACTAATAATATTGCTTATGTAATAGAATAAATCAAATGATATACACTTTGTATTACATTAGCAGCTGTAGTTTGGATTAGCTATCTCACTAATCCAAACTAATTGGCCAAATGGCCAAGCAGTTAAGGTGACAGCCTACTTTGTGTCCTGGCCAAACCCATTATGAGCTTGCTAAAAAAAAAAAGGCCCCCCTTAATGCCCACAGGGTTGAAAGAGTTAAAATATATATATATAAAACTAGATTAGTGGCATTATATATAAAGAAAAGGAAGTAAAAAGGAGTACAAATACATATACAATTTAAAAAAATTTTTATACTTGTTTTATATATATATTAAAATATGTAAGCTAACACATATTAATTGTTTAAAAATTTATCATGTTTAAAAAATAATCAGTGATATATTTTTGTTTTTGTGAAAACATATAACAGAAAGAACAAAACTGATTTGGATTAAGTGGAATTCACATTAGTGAGAATGGATTGTAATGGAAAAATTAAAGCTATTGCTAGCATTTCGCCTATTTTTCAATTTACATAAATGGGATCAATGTAACCAAAGATTTCTCCTACACCGAGTCGTATAAAACAAAAATATGTATACTCTGTAACCAATATCCAGCGTGAAAACTCCAGACAAAGATTGGAAAATGCTTTCGATGCCCCTCCTGGGCTCTTCTTCAGGCCAAATTTACTGTACTGGATTCTTAAATCAAATGTTTTTAAATAAGAACGTGCTTTGTTTCTAGAAACATGTTCTTATTTAAACTGCCTTCCTTATTTGAACTTCTAGAAACTAAGCACGTTCTTATTTAAAAACATTCGATTTAAGAATCCAGTACAGTAAATTTGGCCTGAAGAAGTGCCCAGGAGGGGCATTGAAAGCGTTTGCCAATCTTTGTTTGGAGTTTTCACACCAAAAACAATGTAGTTTTGTTAAGTTTCTGAATTTTGCATATTACATGCCATTAAACAGAACAAAGAAACTTTATCAGTTGCTTAAACTAATATTAAATTTTTAGTGTGTTTAACAGCTTTGGATGTTTTCATTCTAGTTTTAGTTGAATAAATGTGATTGATATTAATGAATAATTTTATCATTTCATAGCTTCATTTTTAATGAAGATATGAATCAGTACAGTACATGATGATAGCTATGTATGAATCTGAAAGGTACTGTTATGCAAATTTTCTAGCTTCAGATCATTTATAGATTATTATTTTTAAATAGACTACAATTTGAAAATTAAAGGAATCTATGAAGGATAAGTATATAACAACATCAACTCAAAACCCAATTTAACTGATTAAAGCCAAATGATCTGCTGATTTATTGGGCTATTTTAAAACTACATTAATAATTAGTTATCAATCAATTTACTAAAGGTAAGCAGATATGCTACCATCTTATATTAATTTTAATGTAATAATTTATTATAATTATTAAAAGGACTTTGCTACTCGATTATACTATGCCAATTATGCTACCTAAACTCCATCTGAGGTCCAGGTAGTGAAATTAGCAATGCATCTACATGGTAAGCAGAAGTTGCGGGTTTCAGTCCCACTCTGGGCCGATTCTTTTCTTTCAGAAATTTCTAAATTAAAAATTAATTTATATTAATTAAAATTAATACGAGATGATAGCATATCCACCTACCCCTAGTTGAATTAATTGGTAACTAATTATTAACAGCAATAAACCAATAATTCAGCAGATTGGCTTTTATGGAGGAATAAGGACTATAAATGCTGTTTCAAGATAATATATTAGTTCATGTTTACAGTAGTAACAATTTTTTCTTTGGAAGTAGTAACAAAATTTTTTCTTGGGGAATGCACTACCCAAGATGTATGGTCCTTAAGGATAGTGTGGCTGTCGGCCATGATATTGGGTAGTCATATGTTTTATTTGGATTAATCTTAGCCTTCTTTCCTGTTTCTTTGTTCTAAATTCCTTCTACAACCTTCTTATATAACCTTTTTGCCCTTGGGTAGGATTATTGTTTCAAAGAAAAAAAGAAGGACAAAAGAGGGAGTGAGGCCCTGGGGCCTAATGGACAGAGAATGAGTTATTCTGGGAGAGAATCCTGAAGAGATAGGCAGAAAAAGGCAGTGCTCCAAAATTTTAGAAAGAAGATCGAAGACTGTGAGTTGCCGAGAGATCATTGAAGAAAGACAATGAAGTCAAAAAATAGATGAAAGTCCTACAATGAGAAAAGGATCACGAATAAGAGGAAGATCTGAAGTTGTGTCCTACCCAAGAGCACGTTGCTACAAAAGAAACCCAGGTATTTCTATTCCTTTCCTTATCCTTCCTTATTTCTTCTACCTTTCCATTTTCCTTAGTTTTAAGATAGTATAAGATAGTGTTGATATGACCCACGTCTGACTGTCGTGCATATATGAATTATCTGCTTGGAAGATCAGTATGTAAATGCCTATGTACATAAAATTCATAAAATTATAAGGTTGGGATCCGATGTAAAGAACCTGTTCAGAGAAAATTAAAATACTCGGTGCTGCAAATAATATTAAATGTTTTTTTTTTTTTTTGAGTACCATTTCGCTCGCGGAATTAAGTATCTCTCGTTATGAACTTCACAATAGACAAGCATTATAATTATATAAATATTTGCTATTTTTAATGCACTTTTGGTTATTTTGTTTTATTATTGTTATAATTAGCATAAACTAGTTTTATTCTATTGTAAATGACACAATTTGCTGTTATGACATTTCCGATAAATGATTTATTATTATTAATAAGTTTCCAAAAGTAAGCTTGGATTATATTTACTGTCAGTATTTTATCTTGAAGCTGCTTAATTTCCTTATAAATATGAAATATAATTTAAATATTATTGTTAATATAATTTAATAAAATAATTAATAAATAAACAATAAAATATAATTCTTTAGTAAATTTAATTTAAAATGTTTTTCATAAAACAAAGAAAATTTTATGACTATCTTTTAAATATTTTCTGATGTTTATTTCTGTACGCATTTAGAATCATTTAGTAAACCCAATCGAATTTTGCAAAGGATATCTTATATTATCCAAAAAGTTAAATGCTGTTGCCAACTAATAGTGATACACTTTTAAATCCATTATCTAAAAAATAACAACTAGAAACAATAAAAATATTACTTATATTATTGACTATTTAAAAAGAAAAAAAAACAGCATATATTTTATATCAACAATGAAATCATGACACTTTTAATAAATAGGAAATCAATAATAATATAATATCAGATGATCATCATCTATCATTGTTTTTAGTTGTGCAATTGGTAATGTAATACATTTGGAAATAATCATCAGAGGAATTTTATAAATGCATTTTAAAATAATTCTAAATAAATGAAACTTATGTCAAAAACAATGTATCAAAAATCACAAATACTTAATATAATATTAATATATTATGTAATTTATGAAAAATATAAATTTTATAATTTTAAAGAATAGCAGAATAATTAGAAAGACAACATTGATGTCATTAGTTTTTATGTTTTTCATTTTTTAAATATTTTATGGATATTGAAGTACAGTAGAGCATCAATTATCCGACTCAATTGGGGACTGGGATTGATCGGATAATTGAAAAGTCGGATAACCGAAAAGTATGAAAAAATCCATTATTAGTGTAGTATATTATTATATCCCATGTAATTAGTGTAGTATATTATTATATCCCATGTAATTAGTATATTAGTATATCGCTATTAACCTACTTGCAGTGAATTTTCATCAATGTTAAGCTTAACAAATTGTTTTAAAAATAATAATTGTCGCTATTGTATCGTTAAAAATTAGAAAATTAAGCTTCATTTAAATACTGGCTCCATTTCATGGTCGATCCAGTGTTGTCAGCTAAAACACGTAAAAATAATATTAAAGTAGCCAAGACATAGCCAAATATTGTAGCACCACATCACTAGCTGACATTTGAATTTGCCAACTACAATGCGGTCAGTTAACTGAGGTGACGGTTAATCGGGGGTCGGATAATTGATGCTCTACTGTATTTCTTTTACATAAATCACTACTTAAAACAATAGACGTTCAAAAATATTGTTTGTCAACTATTCTATTACAGATACAATTAGTTTTGATAATTTGATACAGGAAATAATTCAATTAGCATATTTGAATTGTTTAAATTTCTAATCTATACTTTTAATATTAACAATTCATTACTTAATATAAAAATAATGTATTTCATTTGAAAAATTGTTTTCATATCAAATTTAATTTTACTTACATTACAATATTTTACACAGTCTGTATATCCTTCTTGTCCTGTTTTCATTTGTGCGCTGAATTCATCATTAGTCACTCGAAAAGTCGACAATGTCTCTTTCAAAAGTTTTTGAGGAAATGAGGGAGGTAAGTTTTCCCACTGTTCCAATAAATGCTTCATTAACATACTAAATAAAATAAAGTTTTTGAAAATCAATTATATAAATTTACTTAATCAATTATTTTTATGCATAAGAGAATTATTTTATAATTACAGCAGCAATTCGGTAGAACAAAAAATAATTACAAATGATACTGTGTTATCTTTATAAATATATTATAATAAGTTTATTTCTCTTAAGTAAATTATTGAAGTAATTAAACAAAACACTAAATTTAAACTCAAGTTATAAAAGCTGTAATTTATTTCTTAAACAAATAATGGAAAATATTTCTCCATCTTCAGTACATTCTTATAACTTTGTATAAAACTAATGATGTTCCTACAAAATATTTAATTTACTGTAATTATTATTTATTTATTAGTGTAAAAATTAAGTGTCTACAATCATTTATACAATAATTTATTATTTGACATGATAGTACTATGTTTAATTAATCCTGTAAATAAGTGTTGTAATTTGCTAAATCATTTTTAGATATGTACAATAAGTTTTCATTCTGTTCATACATAGTAAAACTTTGTTATTTTCCTAAAAAGTGAAATACAGTCGACCCCCCCTATAACGCGAATTCCTATAGTTCAGATTCCTATATGACGGCGAAAAAATTGCGACGGTATCCATACAAACATGGTAAAAAACTCCTATAATTCAGTAAAACGTCATCGGGCAGCCAAACTACTTTCTGCCGTCCAGCGCCATGCTACGGAGAGTTTAGGCGGGTAAATTGAGTTTACTATCGTCTGTACAGTATTATATATAAATTAGGTACTGTACATATAATTATATATTAATTATATATAAATTAGGTACTGTATATATAATTATATATTAACTTAATTTATTGTAACTTTATTATAATTATATATATACTTTCCGCCGTCCAGCGCCACGCTACGGAGAGTTTAGGCAAGTAAGTTGAGTTTACTATCATCTGTACAGTATGTAAATTAGGTACTGTAAGTCTAATACAGCACTAATTTTATACATTTCTTGTGAAAGAAACATTTCTTATTCAACGGCCATAAAAATTATTTATATTAATGATGTCTCCAAAGTTCAACGAAATTTTTGCAGAAAAATAACTTATCAGAAATCGCGGCTGCCATTTGGTGCGCTGCTCCACGACAAAAACAAGCTTAAGCAATGGCGACATCGAACAGTGCACACGCGGTAAGTAATCCTACAATTTTTGTTTATCGCATAGTTTATATGGATTATTCCCAAAAAAATATACGTATTTTGGAAATGTTGAGTCGAATTAGTCTAGGAATCAATTAATTTTATGGAAGAAAACCTTTCAAACAGCCGTAGTCCGTAAAGTGCATATGTGCCGGGCTGTGATTGGCAAGGACTCATACAAAATAGATTCATAAAGAACGGAACGTATCTACCGTGTTATAGGGGGGGTCGACTGTATATCATCTCACCCATAACAATTAATTATCAAATTTCTATGCATGCTCAGTGCTAAACACAAAAATCTACAAAAGATGGAGAAATAATTTAATAAACAAATCACTTTATTTATTATTTTAGTTCAAATTTCATTATGTTCTTAACTAACTATTATAATTAATTTATTACTTATGAAAAAGAAATACGTATACAGCACATATTGTCAAAATAATTTCTTCAACTAAAAATATATTCAATCATCATTACTCATTCTTTTCAACCTCAAAATCTAACACAGAAATCTATAATATTTCATAAAATAAATAAAAACAGAATGGCAAGTTATTTAAATTATCTTATTATACTTTAATATTAACAAGAATAATAACGCATAATAAGTAATGTAATAAATTGTTTTATATCATAACTTATGACATGTAAGATATCTCCTGTTTATACTATGTTCTTGAAGTTCATTTATTAATAAGATAATTTTGAAAAACAAAATTTTGATTTATTGTTTCGATTTTCAATGAATATTCATTCTTAAAACAAGAAAATATAATTACTATATATAAAAAATTAATGCAACTACATATACTGAAAATAAATAAATTCTATAAATAGTTCCTAAGAAAAAACTTATTTGATATTTATAGATTAAGAATTTATATTAACAAACATGATATAGACAAAGTATGCTACACCTTGTTCTTAAATTGGTCAAAGTTGTGCAAGATGTTGTTGTTCAGTGGATAATAGTTGATCCCTTCTTTCACTTAAAAAAATTTTTTAAAATATGTATCATGTTACATTTTGTGAATTTAATCAAATATTAACTTAAACTAGAACTAATAACTGTCATGGCTCAAACTTTTTTAAATTATAGGAAAAATGTCAATTTATGCATGTAACAATGACTCACCATAAACTAAATGTTCAAATATAAAATATGTTAAATTTTCAAAATTAAAGACATCTGTAAAACATTGGTTAAATGGTTGCTGAACAAAAGACAACTTAATGGAATATTTTTATATTTTAAATTTGTCAAAGTATGAGTAAACCATTCATTTTATTTGCTATTTTTGGAAACTCCTAAGTTTTTTTTTACTGTAAATTTAATATTTTAATAGTCAGTCCTATATATTTGCCCAAACTCATTATGATAGAAAAAGACTTTTTAGTACTCTCCAGACAGAAAAGATAAAATAATAAAAACTGATGTATGTCAAAATTTATGCTTTTCCTATGATTTTTATTTTGAACATGATATTTTAATGGTAGATTTTTTTACTGAAAGTTATTTAGAAGTGAATAAAATACTATTAATAATATTTTATTTTACACTTTATTACTCTTATATAAAGAAAGTATATAAAAATTGTCTTTTAAAAATTATATATAAATATTTTTAAAACATTTATACATGACATTACTGAAAAAAGACTTAATACGTTTCTTTCAATATAAATTTGCATATAAATTTAAAGATGAGTGTAATAAATCAGGCAAAAACAAAATCAAGAAATTTAAGTACATTTTATATATTGTATCATATAAAGCAATAAAGTTTTTATTCTGCTTAAGTTGATTGCCAAAATAATAGACAAAATATTAAAATCTCTTCATAAATATAATTGTATACATGTGTTATTAGTAAATCTTTTAATCTTGGTTTGAATAGATCTGTTAAGCCCTAGTTACATGAATTACTGTATAAAATACAGAATAAGTTTGACCTTGTCGCAAAATCTAAAGAATATGCTACACTTTTTATGTGTTTATTTTATTTAACAGATAGTTATTGATCAGTTAGCCAAAAAATTCTTAGTGCGTAGTCACATTACTGAGAGCAATAATAAACAACACAAAGGAGCAAAAATCGAGTAAACAACAGTGTGGGATAGATTGGATTAGATAAGAAAATATTAATATATATTAGGAAATTCGGTGGATTCTATCTATAGTATTTTAATTTAAATTAAAATAATTAATAATTTCATATTATAAAATAAGATTCACTTAACTCTGATAATTAACATAAAACTAACTTTTTAAATCAAAATCAATTCTTAAAATTTACAATCACTATACAACATTATCAGATGTTCTAATCTTTTTTAAAGTATTCCAATATTAGGATGAACTTCCTTTAAATACTATAAATAAAGGTTATCCACACTGGAATCAGAGCTAATCAGCCATCTTGTTTCTTCACTGATCCACGAAATAAATTTTAACCAACTAATTTCAGTTAGTTAACTGTTAGTTAACTTACTCATTAGTTTATCCCAAAGATTTACACTTATGAAATGTGTCAAGATTATTTTAACCTTGAAATTAAATCTCATGCAGTTGGGCAGATCTAGGTTTTTCACAGCCTAGGGCTTATTGAAGTTCAATGAGGCCCCATTTTTTGTTAGATTGAAAATCTTTAAATTTGGGTTTAAAATTCATTTTTAATAACATCAAAATCAGAATTGAAATATATTTATTTATGAAATGGTGTTCANAACTTTTAAAAATAGTAAATCTGAAATAAAATTAAAATGATAGCAACTTTATGTTGAGTAACACAAAAATTACCTTAAGTCTTGGATAAAGATTCTGCAGCTGTTTCTGCAGATTGCCAGGCAATCCTGAAGGAGTATAAACAAAATCCAAAATAGGAAATAGTTCTTTCACCCCCAACACTTCACTACATGAAGTCACATTTGGATAAGATCTGTAATTAATTTTTAATTGACAAAATATTATAAAACAACTATGACTGACTATATAACTTTTAATTATTATATTATTTAATTATTAATATATTCAGTAACTATACTAAAAATCTGAAAGTTGTTAATATAATTGCTGAATCATATTTAAAATAGATACGATTCAGTGCTTATATGATTACTAATAATCTTCACATGCAATAAATTATACAAGATTTTAGGTTAATATACTGGAAAGATGTGTTAATATGTAAAGTAGAAATTCAAACTAACACTAGCCATATACATTTAAATATTCCAAAAACAGCTGAACTTTTGCTCTCATTAAACTATTATTATTATTTAAAAATATTTGAACTTTAGAAAAATACACAAAGTGTAACAAAGGTAATTGTTTAAAACCACATTTTAATGATTCTCTTTTCTACCAAAGTGCTTTCTTAATATTTTAATATCTTAATTTAACACTTAATTATCTATCTTGTATTCTACTGCAATGGCAAATATTTATTTATAGATCAAATATATTAAATACAGTATTCCATGTAGTTTTCCATGTATTCAGTAGTATTCCAGTATTCACAGTAGTTTGCCATGTGTCTTTAGAATAAAACACAATACTAGTGTTTATTACGCCACAAATTAAATACAGTAGTTATAATAAAGATAAAATATAAAAAAATAAAGTATTTAATAACTATCATCTAAATTATTAAAAGTATATAATTTGCACAGAGAAAAGAAAGGAATTAATTCTATTTCTGTTTAATATTTTTGACTGATTATAAGCAAAATAAGATTATTCTGATTAATATCCTTGTTTGTACTGAATATGCCATTTATTATTATATAGGATGTCCAAAAATGTACTGTGCGATGGAAAGGTTCAATAAAAAATCAATAAAAGTGACGTTTTACATATGATATTGCAGTTTCTCCTCAAGGAAATATTCTTCAGAAATCACAAAGTCCAGAGTGAAGTCTGGAGACTTCACTCTGGACTCGTCAATGGGCGTTAAGGGGTTAACAAGCTAGATTCTACAAAAGATTATACAGTCAGCAAAGAAGTCTTTCAAAAACCAGAATATCTGTGAGCAAGTAGTATATATATATATTTTTTTAATTCATCAATTCAAGAACACATGTTTAGAGAAGGCAAAATAATTTTATTTAGAGATTAATGAAATTTTATCTCTGTTTCCAAAATAAACAAAAAATTGCAGTATGTTATACAGGTAACCCCCTTATAACACGGCACTTCTATAGCACGGATTCACTCTAACATGGTTTGAGAATTGGGAACATCCCCGTATAACATGGTGCTTTTATAGCACCGTGTATTACACGCGTGCTATAAAAGCACCGTGTTATACGGGGATGTTCCCAATTCTCAAACCATGTTAGAGTGAATCAATTCTCGAACCATGCTAGAGTGAACCAATGCTACACGGTGCTTTTATAGCATGCGTACAGCACTGGTTCATTCTAACACGGTTTGGGAATTGGGTAAAACCCTCATATAACATGAAATATAATAAAGGGTGCATTTTTTTATACCTCCACGTAACTCTGCGTGAGCATTCTAATTGTTTTCATGGCTACTTTGAATGCTGTTCCTAAGAAAAAACTTATTTGATATTTATAGATTAAGAATTTATATTAACAAACATGATATAGACAAAGTATGCTACACCTTGTTCTTAAATTGGTCAAAGTTGTGCAAGATGTTGTTGTTCAGTGGATAATAGTTGATCCCAGTACATTCTTATAACTTTGTATAAAACTAATGATGTTCCTACAAAATATTTAATTTACTGTAATTATTATTTATTTATTAGTGTAAAAATTAAGTGTCTACAATCATTTATACAATAATTTATTATTTGACATGATAGTACTATGTTTAATTAATCCTNTATTATTTAATTATTAATATATTCAGTAACTATACTAAAAATCTGAAAGTTGTTAATATAATTGCTGAATCATATTTAAAATAGATACGATTCAGTGCTTATATGATTACTAATAATCTTCACATGCAATAAATTATACAAGATTTTAGGTTAATATACTGGAAAGATGTGTTAATATGTAAAGTAGAAATTCAAACTAACACTAGCCATATACATTTAAATATTCCAAAAACAGCTGAACTTTTGCTCTCATTAAACTATTATTATTATTTAAAAATATTTGAACTTTAGAAAAATACACAAAGTGTAACAAAGGTAATTGTTTAAAACCACATTTTAATGATTCTCTTTTCTACCAAAGTGCTTTCTTAATATTTTAATATCTTAATTTAACACTTAATTATCTATCTTGTATTCTACTGCAATGGCAAATATTTATTTATAGATCAAATATATTAAATACAGTATTCCATGTAGTTTTCCATGTATTCAGTAGTATTCCAGTATTCACAGTAGTTTGCCATGTGTCTTTAGAATAAAACACAATACTAGTGTTTATTACGCCACAAATTAAATACAGTAGTTATAATAAAGATAAAATATAAAAAAATAAAGTATTTAATAACTATCATCTAAATTATTAAAAGTATATAATTTGCACAGAGAAAAGAAAGGAATTAATTCTATTTCTGTTTAATATTTTTGACTGATTATAAGCAAAATAAGATTATTCTGATTAATATCCTTGTTTGTACTGAATATGCCATTTATTATTATATAGGATGTCCAAAAATGTACTGTGCGATGGAAAGGTTCAATAAAAAATCAATAAAAGTGACGTTTTACATATGATATTGCAGTTTCTCCTCAAGGAAATATTCTTCAGAAATCACAAAGTCCAGAGTGAAGTCTGGAGACTTCACTCTGGACTCGTCAATGGGCGTTAAGGGGTTAACAAGCTAGATTCTACAAAAGATTATACAGTCAGCAAAGAAGTCTTTCAAAAACCAGAACATCTGTGAGCAAGCAGTAACTACATCTACCACAAAGTGGGAATGTAAAACATACAACTTACAGGTCTTGAATGCAAAGCTGTACATATAACTAATGTCATTACAAATTTCTCATTGCACAGTAACTTTTTGGATACCCTATAGTTACTTATTGCACTATATCGAATACCTTTAAATATATTCTCTCTTTTTTCAAATATTTTGTTTTATTTGCTCACTAATATCAATTAAATAGATCTAAGTTGTATCCAAAGAAGAAAAACATAAAGATAGATTAAAACACATTAAGAATAGAATATATTTGAAATATAAGAACTGTTACAGGTTAATTATAATGCCATTATTGAGTATAAAATAAAATGAAATTTAGTTTATAAATATAAAAAAATTAGTAAAATAATAAATAAAACTGCAGAAATTAGTAAAACTTTTTACAATTTTACAAGTAGGCCTACATAAAACTTTCTGATATGGCAATTTAAAGGATTACAAAATTCATAATGGAATTTTTATTATATCTTAAGTTCTTTGTTCATAAGTACATATTTCATTGATGAAATGCTTCTGTCTAATACTTGTTAAATTTTCAAAGTTACCAAACCAATTTGGATAAATTTTCTCAGAAGACTTTTATATAAATGTAAGGCACGGATTTTTTCGGATTTGTATAGGCCGCTTAAACATCTAAATTTTCGGTTAATTAACTTTGGAAAAAACCCGAGGAATTTAAACTAAAGTGAAACCTCGGTATACGACCTTAATCCGTTCCTGGTGTTTGGACTTATACCGAATAGGACGTATACCAAACCAACCTTTTCCATAACAAGTAATGTAAAAATGATTAATCCGTTCTCATGTAAAAAAAATGGCTGGCTTTAAACACCTCGCTTTCCTCGCTCGTTTCTGCTGGATTTTTCATGAGATCAGCATGTATCCTTTTAACTTTCTCGCAAATAATTTCTTCCAATACGCTGTCGCAGGCACACTGTTTTTCAGTTATCCAAAGAAAAGCAATTTCTCGACATGATCTAATGTCTTCGATCTCTGTTTAGAAATTGATTTAACCCCTTTCGCAACGTTAGCAAATTTAATAATGTCTTTATTTTTCACAATTGTCGATATCATCGTTCTCGGAATATGAATGCAACAGTTAAATCTCGAACACACATGCCACCTTTATATTTCTCAACAATATCTTTTTTCAGTTCCGTTGTGATTCTAGTCATTTTTTTATTTTTCTGTTGCCCTTTTGCAATTCATGATTAATAAAAATAATAAAATGTTACTTACAAATTAAAATCAGAAGAAATTTAACAAAGTTATAAACCGTAGCACTGCGAATGTCTAGTCTAGTGTAGTACACCGGTAGTGCTACTTGTTCATAGATGGCGCATATAATTGAATTAAGTCGTATACTGAACAAAAGTCGTATACCGAGTAAAATTTGTTTCGTCCAAACAGGACGTATTCCGAATTGGACGTATTCTAAAGCAGACGTATACCGAGGTTCCACTGTATATCGAATTTCACCGAGTTTGTAACAACGAGCTGAGGAAGTTGACAGTTAAGTGTGAAGACTGCACCGTCACTGTCAACAAAGAGGCGATGACGTGTCCACTCGCGCACGAAAGATATAAAAGGGGAGATCACCGGAAGCTTGGGGCGCGTCCGCACACGGAAGGTACTTGTGGATCGTAATCCCATCAGTGAAGACACCATACCCTTCCATACAGACGACGTTCGCCAACTCTCCCTTCCACGGAAAGGTACTTAGGGGTAGATTTTATAAAAGCGCTCTCTCTCTGAACTAGGAAAGCGACCTATCTAAGAACGTAATCACCAATTTCTGTACATACTTTAATATAATCGCATTTAGCTTTAGTATTTTGTAACTTAGTTGTCTTAATTAATAAATGCTTGTTATTTTGTTGACCTGTCTCCTGTCTAATGGCACCTGCCAACTTACCAGTGCACTCCCCACTCGATTTGCCCTCCTACCGCCATCCGATGACGCCGAGATCGGGCTTCACAAGCCCGTGCAGAGTAAGTGGTCATTGTGGGATTAACCCGTGGCCCGCTGCCTATCTCACATAAATATAAATCAGATTAGGTGAAGAATTTTGTAAATTTTTTCATATATTGATCCAATTGTTTTGAAAATCTTCAAAATCATAATTAGTCAACAAAATTATCCTCACTAAATACCAAATATAGTGAGATTTAGAATATCATCATTATTTTATAAATTTTTATGTAATTCTTATGACTATCATGTATTAGGGCCATCCCATTTTATAACAGAGCATTTCTGGTCAGGTCCAAGTAGTAATCCTATGGGAACCTCACTTAATTATTGATTTTTTTTTTAATGTTCTTTTGAAAGAACATTATATGGGTCCCAACATAGAGTGACTATGCACACCATTTAATTGGTAATACATTAATTTTTTTTCTTGATAAGGATAGTAGTCATTTTTTCCTAAGTGAGAGAGAAAAAGAACTGTTGAGTAATTATAGCTGTACAATGATAAAATATTGTCAGTGACTGTGGATGCTCTCTGAATTTGCTGGATGGTAATGTTGATGACTGGTAATGGGTCCCATATGGCTTCTTCAGTGTCTTTAATATTATTCACACACACTGGTCACTCACACCTGCCAAAATGTTATGGTCCCACTAGATGTATCTCATACACCATATCTTCTTTTTGTCTTTCTTCTCATTTTTGTTTTTTTGGTATTTTTATGAGTGAATTTCATTCAGGATTTAGTCCAAATTTGAGAGGTTTGATTCTTCTAATTTCAATTCAAAATGCTGAATAATAGCATGTCATCTTGGTTGGAATGAATTTAACAGAAACATATTGATGTATGTTCCTGGTTTAGTTCCTTTGAACTTTTGGTTATACAAGCTTCATTTTATGTAAAAGAAAATAGTAAAGTTCAAATTTAAATCTATGATTTGGTAACTATTTCAGACCCTATACATATACATAGAAATTATTGATATATGTATTAAATTACTTAATAAAAATTAAATTATTGTTTAGATTTAACTACTTGACAATTTAAAATATTGGGTTTAATAGGTATTCTTCAATAATACAGTTTTATTTAAGTAATTACATTTTTACTTTCTAATTAAATTTATTGTTTTTAAATAACTATTACAAATACATAGTTAAATATATTAAAATATATTTTAAAAATAAAATATAGTTTTATGCTTATCATATATAAAATAAATTTAGAATGTTCAGTTCAGCCAACAAGCAAATTTCTATTAATAAAAATGTAAGTAGTTAAGTTATAAAATGCAAATAACTTTTTTGATGATAAATTAAGATAAAATGAAATATTCTTTTAGTATTATTAAGATATAATTTAAAATTCATTAACCAAACTTTAAATTTGTATCAAAATCTTCATCAAAAGTCAATGTATTAACAAAATGATAAATAAGATTATTCATCTCTTCATCCATTAAGTCTTAAAAATATTTTATTTCATTTTTATTTTTTTTTTACATAACATAATAAGAACTTTATAAGTTTCTGCTATTGTTAAAATTCTATACTTTTTATAAAATATGGAATTGCAAACAAAACATAGGCCAATGTTTATTCAGTATTGAAAAAGCAAAAATGATCTTACACTAATAACAACAGTAAATGAAGTATTTTAAATAATAAAATAAACCCACTTTATGTCCTATGTATAATCTAATTGTCATATTTAATGCACTTGTGTATATGTCACAGCCAATACATTAATCTATCTACTCCCTTTCTATTCAATAAAATCACAAATTTAAAAATGAAATGATAAAAATAAATTTTCTGTATAATATTTAAAATTTAGATATTACTATTACATCTTGACATTGCTATTATTTTCAAGTGTTTAAAGCAAATTTAAATATGAATAAGTTTGATAAAGTAAAACTTACCTTAATNTTAGCTAAATCAATAAACAAATTATAAAAAAATATTAAGTTTGCAAAAGATTATAAATATAAGGTGATCATAATTAAGGAATAAGTATTCAGAGCTCTCTATAGAAAAAACTATTGCATGAACTTCAACCAAATTTGGTTGAAATACTATCCTGAGTATGAGGTTTCAGTTTGCAAGAAAAAATTTCACTTTAAAATTCAGCTGCTAAGGCAAAATTTGGCACTTCTGTTCTCTTATATGCATATAATGTTATGTTCTTAATATATTCTTAATATGCATATTATGTATGTTTATAACAAATTTTGGAACACATAATACACACATTAAGTGGGCCCTAGCAGCTGAATTTTAAAGTAAAATTTTTCATAAAAATTGAAACTGCATACTTAAGACAGTATGTACTGTACAAGACATACCAAATTTGATTGAGATTTGTTCAATAGTTCTTTATTCAGAAAGGTCTGAACACTTACTCTTTAATTATGATCAGCATGTTTATTATATTGATCCAATTGTTTTGAAAATCTTCAAAATCATAATTAGTCAACAAAATTATCCTCACTAAATACCAAATATAGTGAGATTTAGAATATCATCATTATTTTATAAATTTTTATGTAATTCTTATGACTATCATGTATTAGGGCCATCCCATTTTATAACAGAGCATTTCTGGTCAGGTCCAAGTAGTAATCCTATGGGAACCTCACTTAATTATTGATTTTTTTTTTAATGTTCTTTTGAAAGAACATTATATGGGTCCCAACATAGAGTGACTATGCACACCATTTAATTGGTAATACATTAATTTTTTTTCTTGATAAGGATAGTAGTCATTTTTTCCTAAGTGAGAGAGAAAAAGAACTGTTGAGTAATTATAGCTGTACAATGATAAAATATTGTCAGTGACTGTGGATGCTCTCTGAATTTGCTGGATGGTAATGTTGATGACTGGTAATGGGTCCCATATGGCTTCTTCAGTGTCTTTAATATTATTCACACACACTGGTCACTCACACCTGCCAAAATGTTATGGTCCCACTAGATGTATCTCATACACCATATCTTCTTTTTGTCTTTCTTCTCATTTTTGTTTTTTTGGTATTTTTATGAGTGAATTTCATTCAGGATTTAGTCCAAATTTGAGAGGTTTGATTCTTCTAATTTCAATTCAAAATGCTGAATAATAGCATGTCATCTTGGTTGGAATGAATTTAATAGAAACATATTGATGTATGTTCCTGGTTTAGTTCCTTTGAACTTTTGGTTATACAAGCTTCATTTTATGTAAAAGAAAATAGTAAAGTTCAAATTTAAATCTATGATTTGGTAACTATTTCAGACCCTATACATATACATAGAAATTATTGATATATGTATTAAATTACTTAATAAAAATTAAATTATTGTTTAGATTTAACTACTTGACAATTTAAAATATTGGGTTTAATAGGTATTCTTCAATAATACAGTTTTATTTAAGTAATTACATTTTTACTTTCTAATTAAATTTATTGTTTTTAAATAACTATTACAAATACATAGTTAAATATATTAAAATATATTTTAAAAATAAAATATAGTTTTATGCTTATCATATATAAAATAAATTTAGAATGTTCAGTTCAGCCAACAAGCAAATTTCTATTAATAAAAATGTAAGTAGTTAAGTTATAAAATGCAAATAACTTTTTTGATGATAAATTAAGATAAAATGAAATATTCTTTTAGTATTATTAAGATATAATTTAAAATTCATTAACCAAACTTTAAATTTGTATCAAAATCTTCATCAAAAGTCAATGTATTAACAAAATGATAAATAAGATTATTCATCTCTTCATCCATTAAGTCTTAAAAATATTTTATTTCATTTTTATTTTTTTTTTACATAACATAATAAGAACTTTATAAGTTTCTGCTATTGTTAAAATTCTATACTTTTTATAAAATATGGAATTGCAAACAAAACATAGGCCAATGTTTATTCAGTATTGAAAAAGCAAAAATGATCTTACACTAATAACAACAGTAAATGAAGTATTTTAAATAATAAAATAAACCCACTTTATGTCCTATGTATAATCTAATTGTCATATTTAATGCACTTGTGTATATGTCACAGCCAATACATTAATCTATCTACTCCCTTTCTATTCAATAAAATCACAAATTTAAAAATGAAATGATAAAAATAAATTTTCTGTATAATATTTAAAATTTAGATATTACTATTACATCTTGACATTGCTATTATTTTCAAGTGTTTAAAGCAAATTTAAATATGAATAAGTTTGATAAAGTAAAACTTACCTTAATAAGTCATTTAAGTAATCAATAGTAAATTTAGAATAGGCCCTCATTCCAACCAAAGGTAACATTAACTCTAACCAAACTAAAATCAAACAAAAATATTAATATATTTTATTAATCACTAAAAAAATTATTTTAAAAAATATCACAATATTTTATTTATTTATAATAAAGTAAAACATAGTTTTAAAAATTTTCTTGCATATTTATTAAATAATTCTTAAATAACTATTAAAATAAATTTTGATAAATTTTAATTAATTATATGACATCAGATAATAAACATATTTTCTGTCTTTCCATCAAATTATTATAAAAATTAAATAGAAATTATAAAAAAATATTAAGTTTGCAAAAGATTATAAATATAAGGTGATCATAATTAAGGAATAAGTATTCAGAGCTCTCTATAGAAAAAACTATTGCATGAACTTCAACCAAATTTGGTTGAAATACTATCCTGAGTATGAGGTTTCAGTTTGCAAGAAAAAATTTCACTTTAAAATTCAGCTGCTAAGGCAAAATTTGGCACTTCTGTTCTCTTATATGCATATAATGTTATGTTCTTAATATATTCTTAATATGCATATTATGTATGTTTATAACAAATTTTGGAACACATAATACACACATTAAGTGGGCCCTAGCAGCTGAATTTTAAAGTAAAATTTTTCATAAAAATTGAAACTGCATACTTAAGACAGTATGTACTGTACAAGACATACCAAATTTGATTGAGATTTGTTCAATAGTTCTTTATTCAGAAAGGTCTGAACACTTACTCTTTAATTATGATCAGCATGTTTATTATTTTAGAATTTATTTTATATGATGATAACGTAATATTGTTAAGAAAATTTTAGTAATACTTATAAACTAAAAATATATCTAACTCAATCTGTATAGGTCCGATCCCACAAATCAACATATAAATATATGTTAAAAATATATCTAAACTATGATGTTAATATGAATGTCAATTTTCAAACCATTTAATACCATTAATAATTTAAACACAAGAAAATAAAAATTAAGAATTTCAAAGAAAAAATTAAAGAATGATAAATTTCAATACTATAAAAACATATATATTTCTTATAATACATATTAACTATTATTTTCTTTATACCAAAGCATATTTTTTACATAATTAATTTAATGTGTTAAATATCTAAAAGCATTTACCTTTTAAGCCAGCATTGAAGTCTCTCATTCCTGCTTGACCTGCAGCCCAAAGAATAGACAAACATATATTCTGTCTATTTTGATAAGAAGTTCGTAAATCTGAACACTGGAAAATGAAAAAAAAAAATCTATTTTTAGTCTCAATCAATTACATATATATATTTAACCTTAATGTTTTTAATTACTATATATTACAAATTATTTCAGAAGGAACTTAATTAGCTAAATCAATAAACAAATTATAAAAAAATAAAAAACATAACAATTGTAATCTATAGTAATATTTCACATTTTATTTCTTGCTTTTCTTTATATTATTCTTATTATATTTTAATTATATATGACTAATAATACATATTCAACCAAACAAATAATTTAGTAGTATATAATTTAGTTTCTTGAAATTATTATTTAAATGTTTAAATCAATTATAACTGATTAAAACATTAACTCAAATTTTTCTCTACCATAAAACTGCATATTTTATAAAAATTACATCTTGAACGTTTCAAATATTGATATTAAATAGTTCAATTATCAAAGAAAAATATGTAAACTTATAAATTATAGTATACTATTTAAAGAGATGATGCCTACTAATATTCATTAAAAAATTTTGAGAGACTAAAACTTTGAGAGAAAAACTTAAAACCAAGTCGTTTATTTAAATTATAGTAATAACTCTGTATATTTAGTTAATCTATATGAGGTACAATAAGAGACTAAACAAAAGTATATAATACAACAGAGAAGACAAAATAAATATAAATAAGGCATAACACTTATTTTATAACAGAAATTTAAATTTAAAAATAATACAAATTAAAGACTAAATACAAATAAAATTTATTGTCTTCTTACACCTGTTCCAACTACAGAAACACAATAGTGGAAAAACTGATCTTTTTTCTTTGAGGTTCTTTATGATTATGTATGCTTATTTACATAATTGTAGACAGTGAAAAGCCCCAAAGAAAATGTCAACTCTGCAAGTGTTAAATGTGTTTCTGTGGTTAGAAAGGATGTAAAATTTCATTTGTGTTTAATCTTCAATTTGTATTGTTTTTAAATATACATTTCATCCTAGAATTTTTAAATCAAAATTTTAATAAATTTTAAACTATCTTTTACCATTATAAAACTATATTACCTTTGACAAACTATTAACAATAATTTCTGGCTTTTCTTTTCCAAGGCATTGTAAAAATATACGATAACCAAAAGTTGATTGTCCTGTAAAAGGTTAATAAATTATAACTAAATTTTATTAAATTTTTTTATAATACATTAAAAACAGAAAAACAGTATATTAAATATACAGAAATTATTTTTCATGAAAAAAATTTATTAATTTAATTGTTCATTAGTTAACAATGTAAGAACCTTCTCTAGGAAGTAAGTTAGACAGGATCTTTTGTTAACTAGTGGCCTTAATGGTAGTTATCCTTATGAACATTGGCTTCAAAGAACAGCCTTTGGCAGAAAATGTTGGGTGGAAGCATGATCTTAGTATCTAGAGTTGACAACACTCCTGAAAGTTTGATAACTTTTATGATCTTGCTTAAAACTGAAGCAAAGAATTAATAGATGACAGATTGATTGTGATTACTGTCAAAAGGTGTTTGCCCTGTCTATAAAATCAATATGCAGATACAGGAAATCCTCATTAGTTAGGAATTATCGGAGATTTACATAAATCTGTGCCAAATGCCATGTAACTAATGTAATTTATTAATCAAACAGAATATGGATACATATACAGAACACTATTTTTATTCATTAAAAATTAATAATAATAGTATAAATGTGAAGGTAAACAGCATGTATACAGTGAGAACCTCACAGATTGCCAGATAGGTTTTATAAAAAGTAAAGCAGAATTTCTCAAAATGTAACCCAAATTATTTTCAAAGTGGCCCAAAAATTAGTAAGTTTCCCAAATCTATTAGCCTAAAGCCCTACAAATATTTCAATCTGCTACTTGTAGCCCAATCTTGCAGTCCTGAAATCCAGCCATATTTTATGAGATAAGGAAAAAAGTGTAAGATAAGGTAATATCCAAAAATGTGTTACTGTAAAAGCAAAACAATATTGACCAAATTAGAGTTGTTCTTGGTCTATTGTTCTCTTATAGCATGGAGGCACTTCAATCTAAACCAGGAATCACCAAACTTTTTTCACAGCAGGCCAGCTAACTGAAAGAATGACGAGTGCAGGCCGTATAACTATTTTGTTCAATACAGCACACTAAATACACAAAAAACCACAATCACTGCAGAAAGCTCATGATCACTTTCCTTAGAAACTTCATTGCAGGTATTTATACAAAAAGTGCTCTGATATCCAAAGTCACAAAATGTCACAGTATTTCTTATTTCACTGATTTTCCTAAAAATTATATTACTGTCAGATGCGAAAATCAGATTGGACCAATTTTGAAATTTTTACTTAAACTTATTTTAAATTTTTGTACATTGTAAGTTTATCTACAATCTATGATATTTCCGTATAAATAATTATATTTTAGCTCATTTGTGGCACAGTGTAGCAATGGGCCAGATGAACTGACCTCGATCCAGCCACGGGCCTAATTTGGTGACCCGATCTAAGCAAATGAGTTAACATATGCATATCACGGGTCAGACAGAATTTTCCCTTTGAATTTCAAAGCAGCCTTATTTCAAACTAACTGAATTCCTTAAGATGTAAATCTCTAGATCCTTGGCCAGGACAAAAGTACAGTTATGAACTAATGGGATTTTGAACTATCTGAGTTTGAATTAATGAGGATTTCCTGTATAACAGCTCAGGATCACGACAAGATGAAAACATCAAATGCACTTCATAGAAATCTTCAACAAGTGCCATTTGTCACCTCTTGTGTTCTGCAATTTGGCCTAAATTTATCCTGCAACTGAGGTTTGATCCAAAGGAGTTAATTTCTCCAATCATTTTCGCAACAAAGAAAGTAAGGCAAGAAGAAACTCATCTGATGCTGGATTGGCTTTTGTGGCAAAAATCTATCACCCTTTGAGATCTCTACGAACAGTGCAGCATGTGGACATTGACAAGTTATAATTTGTAAAATGCTGTTTAGTGTCAAACAATTTAAAATTATTAGTTTCTAATAAAACTTAACCAATTTGTCCTACATAAACATGTTGATTTTATAGATAGGATACCTTTTTAAAGAAATCACAATCAGTCCCCTTCCATTAGATCCTTCTGTTCCAGTTTTAGGGAAGGTCAAAAAGTTCATCAAACTTCCAGGAGTGTTGTCAGTCCTAGATACATTTCCTGCCTAAGACTGTTCTTTGAAGCCAAAGTCCATATGGATAACTGTTGTTAAGGCTACTAGTTAACAAAAGATTCCATCTGGCCTACTTCTTCTCTAGCACTGTTATTAAAAATTTTCCTGTCTGTATTGAAATTTATCCATTAGTGTATATAGATCCTTTATTATCTCTACAATAAAAATTTGATAGTTCTTCAAATGATAGCAGTTTTTCCTCCTGCTTATTTAAAACTTCTAAATCAAAACTAAGCAAATTTAAAAATAACTTTTATTTCCTCCATTGACATTTCTTTTAAACTAATTTTTATATACAGGTTTATTTATTTATTTATTACACAGGTTAAGAATATTTTATCCAAAATTCCAAATATCTGATAGTTTTTGGGTGCTAGTATGACGCATCACAAATGAAAAATTCTACAAAGCACTGCTAATGTTCTAATATTTTCTCCAGGCCCTTTTTTGTCAGGTGTCCTGCCTGGCTGACTTTTCTGGCCACCCAGCAGATAAATTTCATAAGAAGTATGTATATACAAAAAGTATGACTTTTTCATATGCCTTGACGTAATTCAATCCCAATTTTTAATATAATTATGTTTACTAAAAGACATTCAAAATTTAAACAAATTCGTTGGAACAGATCAATTAACACTTCTATTACACTTACACTTAAAATGAACCTATTATTGGTGTGTATCTTATAAAGAGTGTAAGTGTAGTATACTTCCAGTGTCACTAAAGGGTTGAACAGTTTTGCTAACACTTCTATGTGAATACAATCTAACATTATTTTAACATGTCTATGTGAATACCTTTAAAAAATATTTTCAAACATCTACAGTAGGTAGATCTAAAAAACATTCATATAGAAATAAAAAAATTTTGTTTCATTGGAAATTAATAAAAATCCCTAAAAAGCTACATAAAATAAAGAGTCAAGTCAAATCAGATAAAAATGTACAAATATTCCAAAATATGAAATACTTCTTGTCTATTTGATTAGCCAAGCCAATAACCCTGGCATAACTGCCTGCTGTCTCAGGCATTTTGGATAAAGGATTCTCAACTTGTATCTTAATGATTTGAAGGACTAAAATACTTGACTCTTTTAAACATTCATATTTTATATTTAAGTAATATGTTTTTAAACAAAATGTAAGCATTTATTTGTTTGATTTTAGATGTATATATGTGTTTATATACATCTAAAATCAAAAAAACATGTAATTATTATAGTGAATACATGATACAAATTTGTTTTTTAATGAATATTTAATGCTATTTTCATATATTTCCATAATTTAAAGATAATTTAGATCCTTTTGTAGGCTCTGAAATATCTTTAAGTATCAAAAATTTTGTATAAAATGAATTGTAAAAAGTATTATTATAATTAAATTTGAGAGATTATTAAATGTAAAATTTGATTGTACTACCTTTTACCATATCCTGACCCATAGAAATAATACAGTGTTCAAAAAAATGTTTAAGAACTGAAGTAGAACACTGATTCATTGTTTTTACCAAAATTTCTTTTATTGCTGGAGAGATTATACATAAAGGATAACCTGAAAAATTTAATACAATTAATTTCATAGTAATGTGTAAATTTACATTATATACTGTATATATATAAAACTTTGATTAAAATATTTTATTCTTAGTTTAATTGAAACAAATAGTTTAAAAATCATCTAAAAAAATTGAAAAATAAATAAAGCTTTCCTGAAAAGAAATTTTTTAGATATACAGTGGGTGATTGGTTAACGAACAAATCTGTTCAAGACTTTGTTCACTATCCGAATTGTTCGTTAACCGATTATTGATTTCCTGTAGGTTTTAACGAGAATTTAATTAATTCGTTCTGGAGACCCCAAAAATAACAAAATATATACTTTCTTATTACATTTATTTATACATAATAATAAAAATACATACATACACAGTCTTGCATTTTTATTAATCATGTTTTTTTCCATTTGTGGGNTGATAAATTTTAATTAATTATATGACAGCAGATAATAAACATATTTTCTGTCTTTCCATCAAATTATTATAAAAATTAAATAGAAATTATAAAAAAATATTAAGTTTGCAAAAGATTATAAATATAAGGTGATCATAATTAAGGAATAAGTATTCAGAGCTCTCTATAGAAAAAACTATTGCATGAACTTCAACCAAATTTGGTTGAAATACTATCCTGAGTATGAGGTTTCAGTTTGCAAGAAAAAATTTCACTTTAAAATTCAGCTGCTAAGGCAAAATTTGGCACTTCTGTTCTCTTATATGCATATAATGTTATGTTCTTAATATATTCTTAATATGCATATTATGTATGTTTATAACAAATTTTGGAACACATAATACACACATTAAGTGGGCCCTAGCAGCTGAATTTTAAAGTAAAATTTTTCATAAAAATTGAAACTGCATACTTAGGACAGTATGTACTGTACAAGACATACCAAATTTGATTGAGATTTGTTCAATAGTTCTTTATTCAGAAAGGTCTGAACACTTACTCTTTAATTATGATCAGCATGTTTATTATTTTAGAATTTATTTTATATGATGATAACGTAATATTGTTAAGAAAATTTTAGTAATACTTATAAACTAAAAATATATCTAACTCAATCTGTATAGGTCCGATCCCACAAATCAACATATAAATATATGTTAAAAATATATCTAAACTATGATGTTAATATGAATGTCAATTTTCAAACCATTTAATACCATTAATAATTTAAACACAAGAAAATAAAAATTAAGAATTTCAAAGAAAAAATTAAAGAATGATAAATTTCAATACTATAAAAACATATATATTTCTTATAATACATATTAACTATTATTTTCTTTATACCAAAGCATATTTTTTACATAATTAATTTAATGTGTTAAATATCTAAAAGCATTTACCTTTTAAGCCAGCATTGAAGTCTCTCATTCCTGCTTGACCTGCAGCCCAAAGAATAGACAAACATATATTCTGTCTATTTTGATAAGAAGTTCGTAAATCTGAACACTGGAAAATGAAAAAAAAAAATCTATTTTTAGTCTCAATCAATTACATATATATATTTAACCTTAATGTTTTTAATTACTATATATTACAAATTATTTCAGAAGGAACTTAATTAGCTAAATCAATAAACAAATTATAAAAAAATAAAAAACATAACAATTGTAATCTATAGTAATATTTCACATTTTATTTCTTGCTTTTCTTTATATTATTCTTATTATATTTTAATTATATATGACTAATAATACATATTCAACCAAACAAATAATTTAGTAGTATATAATTTAGTTTCTTGAAATTATTATTTAAATGTTTAAATCAATTATAACTGATTAAAACATTAACTCAAATTTTTCTCTACCATAAAACTGCATATTTTATAAAAATTACATCTTGAACGTTTCAAATATTGATATTAAATAGTTCAATTATCAAAGAAAAATATGTAAACTTATAAATTATAGTATACTATTTAAAGAGATGATGCCTACTAATATTCATTAAAAAATTTTGAGAGACTAAAACTTTGAGAGAAAAACTTAAAACCAAGTCGTTTATTTAAATTATAGTAATAACTCTGTATATTTAGTTAATCTATATGAGGTACAATAAGAGACTAAACAAAAGTATATAATACAACAGAGAAGACAAAATAAATATAAATAAGGCATAACACTTATTTTATAACAGAAATTTAAATTTAAAAATAATACAAATTAAAGACTAAATACAAATAAAATTTATTGTCTTCTTACACCTGTTCCAACTACAGAAACACAATAGTGGAAAAACTGATCTTTTTTCTTTGAGGTTCTTTATGATTATGTATGCTTATTTACATAATTGTAGACAGTGAAAAGCCCCAAAGAAAATGTCAACTCTGCAAGTGTTAAATGTGTTTCTGTGGTTAGAAAGGATGTAAAATTTCATTTGTGTTTAATCTTCAATTTGTATTGTTTTTAAATATACATTTCATCCTAGAATTTTTAAATCAAAATTTTAATAAATTATCATGAAAAAAATTTATTAATTTAATTGTTCATTAGTTAACAATGTAAGAACCTTCTCTAGGAAGTAAGTTAGACAGGATCTTTTGTTAACTAGTGGCCTTAATGGTAGTTATCCTTATGAACATTGGCTTCAAAGAACAGCCTTTGGCAGAAAATGTTGGGTGGAAGCATGATCTTAGTATCTAGAGTTGACAACACTCCTGAAAGTTTGATAACTTTTATGATCTTGCTTAAAACTGAAGCAAAGAATTAATAGATGACAGATTGATTGTGATTACTGTCAAAAGGTGTTTGCCCTGTCTATAAAATCAATATGCAGATACAGGAAATCCTCATTAGTTAGGAATTATCGGAGATTTACATAAATCTGTGCCAAATGCCATGTAACTAATGTAATTTATTAATCAAACAGAATATGGATACATATACAGAACACTATTTTTATTCATTAAAAATTAATAATAATAGTATAAATGTGAAGGTAAACAGCATGTATACAGTGAGAACCTCACAGATTGCCAGATAGGTTTTATAAAAAGTAAAGCAGAATTTCTCAAAATGTAACCCAAATTATTTTCAAAGTGGCCCAAAAATTAGTAAGTTTCCCAAATCTATTAGCCTAAAGCCCTACAAATATTTCAATCTGCTACTTGTAGCCCAATCTTGCAGTCCTGAAATCCAGCCATATTTTATGAGATAAGGAAAAAAGTGTAAGATAAGGTAATATCCAAAAATGTGTTACTGTAAAAGCAAAACAATATTGACCAAATTAGAGTTGTTCTTGGTCTATTGTTCTCTTATAGCATGGAGGCACTTCAATCTAAACCAGGAATCACCAAACTTTTTTCACAGCAGGCCAGCTAACTGAAAGAATGACGAGTGCAGGCCGTATAACTATTTTGTTCAATACAGCACACTAAATACACAAAAAACCACAATCACTGCAGAAAGCTCATGATCACTTTCCTTAGAAACTTCATTGCAGGTATTTATACAAAAAGTGCTCTGATATCCAAAGTCACAAAATGTCACAGTATTTCTTATTTCACTGATTTTCCTAAAAATTATATTACTGTCAGATGCGAAAATCAGATTGGACCAATTTTGAAATTTTTACTTAAACTTATTTTAAATTTTTGTACATTGTAAGTTTATCTACAATCTATGATATTTCCGTATAAATAATTATATTTTAGCTCATTTGTGGCACAGTGTAGCAATGGGCCAGATGAACTGACCTCGATCCAGCCACGGGCCTAATTTGGTGACCCGATCTAAGCAAATGAGTTAACATATGCATATCACGGGTCAGACAGAATTTTCCCTTTGAATTTCAAAGCAGCCTTATTTCAAACTAACTGAATTCCTTAAGATGTAAATCTCTAGATCCTTGGCCAGGACAAAAGTACAGTTATGAACTAATGGGATTTTGAACTATCTGAGTTTGAATTAATGAGGATTTCCTGTATAACAGCTCAGGATCACGACAAGATGAAAACATCAAATGCACTTCATAGAAATCTTCAACAAGTGCCATTTGTCACCTCTTGTGTTCTGCAATTTGGCCTAAATTTATCCTGCAACTGAGGTTTGATCCAAAGGAGTTAATTTCTCCAATCATTTTCGCAACAAAGAAAGTAAGGCAAGAAGAAACTCATCTGATGCTGGATTGGCTTTTGTGGCAAAAATCTATCACCCTTTGAGATCTCTACGAACAGTGCAGCATGTGGACATTGACAAGTTATAATTTGTAAAATGCTGTTTAGTGTCAAACAATTTAAAATTATTAGTTTCTAATAAAACTTAACCAATTTGTCCTACATAAACATGTTGATTTTATAGATAGGATACCTTTTTAAAGAAATCACAATCAGTCCCCTTCCATTAGATCCTTCTGTTCCAGTTTTAGGGAAGGTCAAAAAGTTCATCAAACTTCCAGGAGTGTTGTCAGTCCTAGATACATTTCCTGCCTAAGACTGTTCTTTGAAGCCAAAGTCCATATGGATAACTGTTGTTAAGGCTACTAGTTAACAAAAGATTCCATCTGGCCTACTTCTTCTCTAGCACTGTTATTAACAATTTTCCTGTCTGTATTGAAATTTATCCATTAGTGTATATAGATCCTTTATTATCTCTACAATAAAAATTTGATAGTTCTTCAAATGATAGCAGTTTTTCCTCCTGCTTATTTAAAACTTCTAAATCAAAACTAAGCAAATTTAAAAATAACTTTTATTTCCTCCATTGACATTTCTTTTAAACTAATTTTTATATACAGGTTTATTTATTTATTTATTACACAGGTTAAGAATATTTTATCCAAAATTCCAAATATCTGATAGTTTTTGGGTGCTAGTATGACGCATCACAAATGAAAAATTCTACAAAGCACTGCTAATGTTCTAATATTTTCTCCAGGCCCTTTTTTGTCAGGTGTCCTGCCTGGCTGACTTTTCTGGCCACCCAGCAGATAAATTTCATAAGAAGTATGTATATACAAAAAGTATGACTTTTTCATATGCCTTGACGTAATTCAATCCCAATTTTTAATATAATTATGTTTACTAAAAGACATTCAAAATTTAAACAAATTCGTTGGAACAGATCAATTAACACTTCTATTACACTTACACTTAAAATGAACCTATTATTGGTGTGTATCTTATAAAGAGTGTAAGTGTAGTATACTTCCAGTGTCACTAAAGGGTTGAACAGTTTTGCTAACACTTCTATGTGAATACAATCTAACATTATTTTAACATGTCTATGTGAATACCTTTAAAAAATATTTTCAAACATCTACAGTAGGTAGATCTAAAAAACATTCATATAGAAATAAAAAAATTTTGTTTCATTGGAAATTAATAAAAATCCCTAAAAAGCTACATAAAATAAAGAGTCAAGTCAAATCAGATAAAAATGTACAAATATTCCAAAATATGAAATACTTCTTGTCTATTTGATTAGCCAAGCCAATAACCCTGGCATAACTGCCTGCTGTCTCAGGCATTTTGGATAAAGGATTCTCAACTTGTATCTTAATGATTTGAAGGACTAAAATACTTGACTCTTTTAAACATTCATATTTTATATTTAAGTAATATGTTTTTAAACAAAATGTAAGCATTTATTTGTTTGATTTTAGATGTATATATGTGTTTATATACATCTAAAATCAAAAAAACATGTAATTATTATAGTGAATACATGATACAAATTTGTTTTTTAATGAATATTTAATGCTATTTTCATATATTTCCATAATTTAAAGATAATTTAGATCCTTTTGTAGGCTCTGAAATATCTTTAAGTATCAAAAATTTTGTATAAAATGAATTGTAAAAAGTATTATTATAATTAAATTTGAGAGATTATTAAATGTAAAATTTGATTGTACTACCTTTTACCATATCCTGACCCATAGAAATAATACAGTGTTCAAAAAAATGTTTAAGAACTGAAGTAGAACACTGATTCATTGTTTTTACCAAAATTTCTTTTATTGCTGGAGAGATTATACATAAAGGATAACCTGAAAAATTTAATACAATTAATTTCATAGTAATGTGTAAATTTACATTATATACTGTATATATATAAAACTTTGATTAAAATATTTTATTCTTAGTTTAATTGAAACAAATAGTTTAAAAATCATCTAAAAAAATTGAAAAATAAATAAAGCTTTCCTGAAAAGAAATTTTTTAGATATACAGTGGGTGATTGGTTAACGAACAAATCTGTTCAAGACTTTGTTCACTATCCGAATTGTTCGTTAACCGATTATTGATTTCCTGTAGGTTTTAACGAGAATTTAATTAATTCGTTCTGGAGACCCCAAAAATAACAAAATATATACTTTCTTATTACATTTATTTATACATAATAATAAAAATACATACATACACAGTCTTGCATTTTTATTAATCATGTTTTTTTCCATTTGTGAGGTTAAAGAATCTGTCTAATGTCGATTGCTTTTCTCTCTTCTTTAGGATTTTTCAGAAGTAATTAATAGCATTGTAATTGTAGAGATCCCTAAGCCTATTAACCTCAACCTGGTTTGGATGTCATTCTAAGACCATTGTTCTGACATCCTCCCACTTCTTCAAAAAATGTTTAATAGCAGATATTGGCATTAATCCTCTTTTTCAGGAGAAAACATCTTGCTGAGTTTCTTGGTGTTATTCATTCAAGAGTTCTTGGCGTTCTTCTGTCATCATATCTGTTTCAGGTTCTATTATGAGCTCTTCAATGTTCTTTATTTCTCAGATATGATTTTTGTTACTCTTTAAGCTGCTTGAGTCTTCTCAATTATATTGTATCTTTCTTAGATAAGATTGAACTGTGACCTACTGCAGACTGTTCAAGCCATACTACCCAGCAACATCAGACATCATCTGCTTATTCTCTACCTTTGCTATTATACTCTCATCTTTCTAAAATAAAAATCGACGCAAAACTTAATGAGTGCCTGCCCGACAGTCTCATGAATACTATAAAAGAATTGTTTCTGTCAGAAAAATAAAAGGCTGGAATTACAATAGAGAATTTCAAAGTTTGGAGGAATACTATCCAATCAGTATATATTGGGTTGAGCATCAATGTCAACATCTCCCGCGCTCCAAAAAGTTCTGAATTGTTGCCTGAAGACAAGGGAAGACCAATCGGTATTCATTATTTTACGTCGCTTCTTCTTGTGTTTGTTCTGTGAGGTGTTCGTTATCCAAACATATGTTTGTTGTCCGAACATAAAAATCATTCGCAAAAGTGTTCGTTATCCGATTTGTTCATTAACCAATCAACCACTGTACTTTAGTTATTTAAATATATTTTTTTTTATCTCTGAAGATGGACATAAATCAAAAATGCCTTACAAGAAATTTAGTTTAACTGAATTTAACTTCAATAAAGAATGTTATTAGAATGTAACAAGCAAATATTTTAATATCAGTGAATGAAATTAAAATCGCAAACATTTTTATAAAAAAAACCAACAAAAATATTTGTAAATGATCACTGTTATATTCTTGATTTTAACTGAATTGATTATTATTATGAACATTTTCATATACATTAAATCAAAAATAATGAATATTTATAAAAAGATTTTTATTGTAGAAATATAAAACACAATTAATATCAAGCAAAAACATAAATATTTAATTCAAATAGCAAGAGACAAATGTTAGAGATGATCATAGAAATGTATTAAAATATATTAAACTTGAGGTACACTCACTCAGCATTTGTATGTAAATCAAAAACACAACACCTTAATTTGCTGAGAAAAATTTAATGAAAAGTAAACGTAAAACGTAAAATATAATGTATTATTATATAACGTTTTAACATTTAATTAACCTATGCTTATTTTTTCATATACATATTTTGTTATTTATAATAATAATTTTTATTTTATTTTATTTTTCTTTATACATTTATATATATATTTCATTCGTTATTTTATTTTATTTGTATTTAAATTTTTGTTCTATTTTGTTTATATTCGAAAATCTTAGCCTGATGATGGCCAACAGATTTGGCTGAAAATGTTTACTTTTCATTAAATTTTTCTCAGCAAATTAAAGTGTTGTGTTTTTGATTTATATTAAACTTTATACATTTCTACCTAATTTTTCAATCTAGAGAAGAAACACTTACCAGCACTTTTGTCACTGAAAATTACATCATTCATTTCTACATTAAGTTTCACATTAAAGAATGATGCTAAGTCTTTGAGCCAAATAGATGGAGTTTCAGGATATCTAGTTTGTACCTCATCCAGCAAATTCTGTATTTGTGAAATACTCAGCTGAAAAAGTATAAACAAATTTAGAAGTTTCATAGAAAAAAACCTAAATGCTAATTAAATTTAATTAATGAATTACATACTAACAATTTTTAGAATTATAATCCAATCAATTTACATTCATATAAAGAATACTTTCATGTAGATATTAATTTAGATCAGTGATTCCCAAAGTGGATGCTATTGCCCTCACTTTGAGAGTGACAGAAGATTCAAGGAGACATTGGAAGGCAAGAGGTGGTAGGGGTATTAGAAGACAAGAGAGAAAAGAATTCATTTTTACACTAGAAGATCTTGCAACCATCAGTACAAAGGATAACAAGGATGATATGGAGGTGCAATAGCAACAATACCAATAAAAAGAAAGATTTAATTACCTGTAATTAACAGTTTCACTAACCTACACAAATATATAACTATGCTAATAAATAGAGCCTGGACTAACACACTACTAACCAATCAGGTTTTATACTCCTGCAGATTACTAATGACAAATAAATGTAAATTTTGCCCACCAAAACTTGACAGTATCACCCGACTGTAGTTACTTCTACAATATAAGACAATGACTGATATGAGACCTACAGAGGACCACCAATCCACCAATGACATCACAACCTTAAGTGCATGCTTAAAACTGCAACCTCTTCTCCTGTGCTTGGATATCTTAAAACTGTATTTTTAAGACTATACCAAAACATATAAGTACTAGAGAATGCCATCAGTATCACTAGTCAACACCATTTACAGACCCAGAAGAATGCCAACATGGGGTGAAATAGTCAATGCAGCTAATGTCCAACCACCCTGCCAGAGAGTGGGCAAGCAAGGAAGAATTCATAAACAAAAAAGTATATAAGAAACATATGCACTAAAAGAGAGTAATAGTCCAAAAAGTTTGGGAAACACTGATTTAGATTGTTTTAGTATTATTCATAAGTATTTTTTATATAAATATTCGTATTTTAATCTTTACTAGTTACTGCTTTGCAAGTGAAAACTTACAAAACAATAAATACAAAAGATTAAAATATGAAGAAAATAAATTCTATGGCTTGCCATTTGAAATTAAATTACAAATAAAGTTTTTAGATTATATTTAAAAATAGATAATATTCAAAAATAACCTTCAAAAAACTGGACAGATATTCAAAAGTAACATTTACCAATACCAAAATTAATGTTTCATTTGTATATAATGAACATCTTCAGTTTTAATTCCACAAAACAGAACAGTAAAATTAAATTAAATATTTAGGATTACCAGAATGTTTTTTTAAAATAAGCAAAAAAAAAAAAACAAACGAAAACCATTAGTTTACAGTAAAATTTCTACATTTTACTAGATTTTGGTGTTGGTTAGTACATATCATTAGCTGAGAACACTGTTCTATCTCTACTTTTGCATATTTTGAGATTTTGATACTATATTTTTCCCTTTCCCTAGCTCCTCTAGTAAAAATAGAGATCTTTACTATCTTCAATATTAATGTAAAGCAAGAACAATTTATTCTATGTCTATTCTAATATTTAAACTTTCAAAAGTAGATTAAGAACATAATGATTTTTAACTATATATGTAGATTATTATTGTAAGTATATTTTCAAAATCACACAGTAAAATTTAATACTTCTAATTATTTAAGATTTGTTTCTTCTGGTTCAATGTCACAACTTGGTGAATTTATCGACAAGAGGGGCAAAAGCCCAAAACGCATATCAGTATGAATTAAAAGTGAATGATGAAATTATTTGCCAAGTGTCAATAAATTCACCAAGTTGTGACATCAAACAAGAAGTAGAAGAAGACACGGTTTCGACAAATAAATAAAATAATATTTAAGATTTCTTTCAGTAAAAATCTTATTTGTAATAATTTTGGTTTTAAACAGAATAAAATCAAACTTCTTTCATAAAAAAATGTTTAAGTCAACAAAATATTTATAAACTATTAATATAAAAATTAAAACAAATTTTAGTTTTTATAATTTTTAATTTCAAATGTACTTTGTAAAACAACATGGATTGTTAAAGAAATAAATAATTTTTGTTTATAACTTTTCAGAATTAATATTATTTCAATAACACCAACTTCTGTAAACCATCGGACTGTAATTTGGCAATAATAATTATAAATTACTAATAAATTATTGCCAAATTATAGCCCAATGTTTAAAGCAGGCGTTATTGCTATGTTTCAGGTTTAGTAAAGATATTTATATTCGTATTATTATTTCATTTTCTAAATCAGCAGTCAAAATATTTTTAATCATTTGAAAATTTACAAATACAAATGTCTAGATTTTTATAATATTGTCTTTTATCAAAAATGAAATCTAAGGAAGTGAAGATAATCTTTGATTACTCGTCTGAAAATACCTGTTCAATGGCATCATCTAATGTGACCAGTTTTTGTTGAGTTTTCTTTGTTTGGCCTTTTTTCTTCTGTTGTGTAACTTTTTTATTCTTATTATCCGAAATTCCATTCTGTTTTATACTTTGTGGTTCCTTCTTTTTCCCTTGATCTAACAAGGTCTTAAATATAGTTTGACTCTCTTTTATAGGAGCTGAAATATAATAATAGAAATTAATTATTTTTTTGTAATGATAGTCGTAAATAAACATTATCTATATTTAACTAATTAAACTAGATTATTAATTTTCCGATTACGTAAGAAGTAACCTTATGAAGGACGTGTTTATACTAAAACCATTAAGAAATATTGAATGCTCTTATTTCTCTTAACAGCTTTTTGTCTTATATTCTAGTAACTTTAAACACGTAAAAATTATTTTTCAAGAAAATAAGTACTAATTATGAAACCACTAAGTTTTATAAAATATAATTAAAGCCATGATAAAAACAAACTTTCTTTTCCTTTACTAAATATAATAAATAATTAGTTTTAATAATAAAAGCAACCACAGATTAAATTTTTGATATCTAGTATATTAGTTCAAACAATGCCAAGTAATCTGCTGTATTATCAGAATATAATAAAGCTAATTTAATAATTAGATATAAAGTAATTTGACTAGCGGTAGGTGGTTGGGCCACCATCTCATGATGATTCAAATAATTATCAATATAATAAATTAATTTTTAATTAAAAATTTCTAGAAAAAGTGAGCTGGAGTGGGACGCAAACCTGCAACTCCTGTTTACTGTGCAGATGCATAGTTCTAGAAATTAAATACTTTTAATGTATGTTTTTGAGAAACCTGTCTTTATTTCTGTTATCATACAAATTATGTATGAAATTTTTAAAACTATCTTGGCAATAAAATAAGAAATATTAAAATTATGATAAAATTAGCAGAGAAGTTACAAGATTTAATCAGAAAAATATTTTTGAAAATAACTAATATTGAATACAGGAATAGTAAAGGTCAATGAACATAATAGAGCATATGTGAGTTTTTAAGATCATGGGTGTGGCTGGCCCTACAAGTATAGAATATAAGCAAATTAATAAAGAATTATTCTAGTTCATATGCATATTATTAAATTCTGTTACTGTAATCATTGAAAGAATAAGTATCCATATGGACTATCAATTGTACATGTACTGCATATGAAAATGTTTGAATTTGTAAGCCCATAGAATACATTTTGAATGGAGTTTACATACAAATTCAAACAACAGATTTTAAAATTTAGCATTCTTGCATACTACAGTGTGGGCCAAAAGTCACTTCACAAAGATGCATTCTTTCTAAAGAGGAAAATGGGGGTCATTTAAAAGATGTTATTTTTCATGTTTAGGCCAAAAACATCTGAAAGATGTGTACATTATAATGTTAAAAATAAGCTTATAAAATAATTAAAACTAAAAAAGTTATTTCATTTTTAAATGGTAAAGTGATTTTTGGCCCACCCTGTATATAACATTGTTGTTTGTTACATTCAAATTATAGAGAACAATAAAATTTCTAAACATTTTCCAACTTAAATCTTAATATTTTTATGTTTATTAAACCAATTTTATTCTAGAAGGCTTTAATAGTTGATACATTTAAATTTAACATTACAAATATCAAATTTTTTAATAGTTCTTAAAAGTTCTTTAAATGATAAAAAGTTTAATTTCTTTCTAATAGAATAAACTTGTATTTATGCAATACCATATAAATTTAATTATTCAGTTTTGAAAATAATTTTAGATTTTTAAATAAACTATAATACAAAAATTTAGATAATACCAGTCGACCCCCCTATAACACTGTTGATTTTTCTGTTTTATATGAATTCCATGTTGTATGAGTCACTTAGATTTTACAAATACATGAGCCATTCACAACCCGGCTCACATATTTGTAAAATCTAAGTGACTTGTACAACATGGAATTCATATAAAACGGAAAAATCAACAGTGTTATAGGGGGTCGACTTGTACTATAAATTATCAATTTATGTTAAATGAATAAAAGTGAAACTTAAAAGTTATATACATGTATTTTATTAAATTAATAACTAATTTAAGACATTAAAAAGTTCTCCAAACTCTTAAATTTAAATAAATTTGTATAACTTAATTAATAAAGTTTTATTATCTGTAATCAGTTTATTACAATTAGGGAATTCGATCCCAGTCCTTATTTCTAATCCCAGGATTTCGGGATTATACTTATTCGATCCCGGGATTATTTCGGTATTGAGGGTTAATAAAAAATAAGAAAATCTTACAGAAATTAAAAATCAAAATTTAGACAAAAATCAACGTATTTTACGGTATACACCTAGTTAATTTAATCACTCTAATTAATCAGACTTACAGTCAGACTAACCAGACTTAAAATCACTGTCTTCATGTTAAATTTATTCTTTTTTAAGCATCACTGAGATCTCTTTAAACTCACATAAATTGAAAAAACTTTTATGTAACAAACTATGCAAATAAACGTTGAAAATTCACAAAAATCTCTCTTAACATCGACTAAATAGACTACTTTCATATAACAACCTAGTAAGTAGGTAGTAAAGTAAGTTTCTTAGGAAAAAGTATTTAAAAATAATATTAATCAGTCACATTTTTCTTAAATATAAAGAAAACTAATTTAATAGGAACATTCTAATTTGAATTGCGAAAATATGATCTGAGAAATAACAACGCATCTAGTGTCTCATCACCAAGTCTGCTTCTCAATTTGTTGCACATATATGCAGCTGCAGAGAAAACGCGTTTAGGTTGATGGAAGTTGGAGGAATCGTTAGTAAATACTTATAAGCTTCGAGGACACGGGGAGGATGGAAGAAAACAGTCCGGTCGACACGGATCGGGATTGTAGGAGTAAAGGCTATAATCCCGATTGTTTCGATCATTGTAAGCATGTTTTTCAAAAAATAAACGCGTTAATTTTGTAAATTCGGTCTCTGTGTGAGTCTCTCAGCGTTCAGCAAACCACTACCCCGAAACGTAAAAAGACTTTCTCGCATCATCCTGACAGATCGCGGACAAGGCGAGGGTCATAACCTTTTCACCTAAGGTCGACCCCCCCAAGCGAGTAGCGTCAGGTCTATATTAACCACACTGGCAAAACAAGATGGCTGACACATTGACAGGTAAAACGCACTGAGTAGTGCTCTCGACTGCGCCAGAAAATCGATTGGCGCCCGCGAAAATTCAAAAATACAAAAATGAAGTATATTACCAAGTAACCCAGTGAGAACTGCTTGCCTATCATTTTAGTTGAAAATACAAGAAGTTTTATTCCAAGCAAGCATCGCAAGCCCGCTAGGTTAATTTCTGCTGCTTGCTTGGAATAAAATTTCTTGTATTTTATATTAAAATGATAGGCAAGCAATTCTGTTAAAAGCACTGGCACTGAACGTTTCGCTTCATGCAGTCTATTTTGCAATTTTTTTAAAATGATGTCAATCCCGAAAATCCCGGGATTAGGAAAACTTAATCCCGAAAATTTTGGGACTGAAAAGTGGTCGGGATCCCGGGATCCCGATTTTCGAGATCCCGGGATCAAATCCTCTAATTACAATCCAACATTCTCCATCTTTAATGTTCCTATTCTGAAATATTTCACTAAGTAACCACAGCTCTACAGTATATAATAAACTCAATCATAAAATCATAACAATGAAGAGTTTTTTGACTATTAATCCTATATTTAAGTCTGTTTCTTGTTACGAGTGGATGATTAGTTGTTACTTGCTGTTTTAAGGACTATACGATAAAATCTGTGTCGAATTACAATGCTTTAGTTTTTCCTAAAGTCATAGTAGTCTTTATAATGTTCCATTCTTAAAAAAAAACCTTTTTTATTGGTATTTATGGTATATTCAAATTACCATATATTCCAACGTATAAGATGTCTGGGCATATAAGACGACCCCTGACTTTTACAGTTAAAATATAGAGTTTGGGATATACTTGACTGTTGGACATTTTTATACCGGCCCGCCCTTGTATCCTATTACTGTACCTCCTCCTCTGCCTCTCAGATCTTGCACATGCACACCTGTGCCGCTTCACTGCAGTCCTCAGGAGCGAGATCTGAGAGGCAGAGAAGGAGGTACGATAATAGGATACATACAAGGGTGGGCTGGACAGGTGAAAGATGCACGTTTTTCTGGGCACAGCACTGCTCTATCTCTATCCATACCCCAGGCGTCCCGGCCAACTGCAGCATCCGCCGTATAAGACAACACTTGACGTATAAGATGATCCCCACTTTTAAGATGATTTTCCTGGGTTAAAAAGTCATCTTATATGCCGGAATATACAGTACTAGTAGCCCGGCACGCCCCTAGTGGGTGTTCTTTACAAATTTCCATGAAGCACGGTTCCTTTGACTTTTTTGTTCCTATCAATATGCTGTACAGCTCTGTTAAAGTCCCAATGGTAAGATTAGGTGAAGAGGTGGCAACCCCTCAAACTGTAGCCCCCTGTGCGAACAATAAAGGCAAAGGAACCATACCCCTACTCGCGACCCTTCGCAAGATATAAGCCCCTGAAATAATAAATTCCTATTACAAATATACTGAATTATTTATATTGTTATATTGACCAAATAATAATTTATTGCCAAATGAATAATAATAATTCATATTGTTAATTTAAATAAGAATTAAAATTGTTAATTTGAATGTTTGAAATATGACACACGATAGGGGCGCCTCTAGTGTCCGTTATCAAACGGTTACCAGACGGACAGATACCCGTTGAATGGGTTATATATATAGATGTTAGACTAAAGACTTAATATACAAATAATTTTCATTAATCATTCAATTATCAAATAATAGGGGGAAAAACCAGAATAAAAATTGAATACAAAATGTCTGCTGTTCATAAAACAGTACAAAAAGAAATCAATTTTAAGTAAAAATATTTGAAAAAATGATCAGGAAAAAGTCTTAAAATTTCAAACAATTATTAAATTTATTGATAATTTCATATGAAACAAATCAGGCTCAGTAGCATATGTATTCAAAATAGTACAACTGTTATTTTTAGCATTACAGCAGTAAATATCAACAACTCATAGCCCGAGTAGTAAATACATCACCAAACGATCGCCTAAATATCGGGCTATAATATGGCTAATTAAA